CAGGTCCTGCTGCAGACCCTNACGTCTCACCTGGTGAAGGACACCTTCAGTCTGGGAGAGGACGTGGGCCAGACTCTGCTGAGAGCCTTACTCCCCATGGGCACACAGGTGGGGACTTCACACAGGGCTCAAAATTCATTTTTGGGCACCTAACCTAAAAAATTAGGTGCACAAAAAAATTTTTGGGTGCACCATATGACAGATCTTACCGCTTCTCGTCTAAGCTTGAATCCAAAATGGGAGATAACTTCAAAATCTTAAACAAGTACTACAAGTTAGAAAGATTTTGTTATTTTTCTGACACTTAGATGTCAAGAATATTCTGTATACATGTACTATTATACATTTAATATGAAAAAATACCTACAAAAATATTTGCGTGCACCAGTGCACACACAGAAAAAAATGGGTGCACAGCTCCAATTTTGGGTGCACTAAGGTGCACATGCACCCATACAGTATTTCAAGCCCTGTCACACATTCACAACCTTCCACAAATACCAACTCACCAAGGTTTGCTGAAGTTCGGCGGTAGTCTGACCAATTTTAGACCTCAGCTACCTTTCAATATCAATCAATTTGGAGTTAAATTTGAGTCAAAGTTGACTGCTAACCATACCTTGACCTATTCCTGAACACCAGCCAATGACCAGCTAGCCACAACATGCTTTAAGCATTTCAAAACATATGGTACTGCCAAGCACCAGCAAACTAACTCTTAGCACTATCACAGTCATGGAATTATGCTATACAAATGTCATGTATGTGTGTGGATTGTGCAAAATGAACCACTGAGTAACCAAAAGACATTTCGGGACCATTCCTGTCCCCAGATGCTGCAGGATGGAGGTACAGGATTCACAGATCTGCTGATTGTCATGGCAACTCTGGCAGGTGCTGGATCAGGAACTGGGCATGTGCAGCTGTTCCAGGCAGCCATCGACTGGATCTGTACCTTTCAGCAGGTGAGGCTTGTACTGCAGGACACGGGGGGCCATACATGACATACATGAATAATGTGTATTTAGAAATGAACAGTGTTTTTTTAAAAATCATTGAATCTCAAATTTGTATTTACATCTATCTGGCTTTGAGACCAATTCCCAAAGAAAATTATCCTTCAGACAATGTGGAAGTGACAGTCTGCAGGCTTGAGTGATCCATGACTAGTTAGGGGGAAATACTGTTACTTACATCCTCACAGTCTTAACTTGTTAAGTTATATTGTACATCTGTTGCTTTTACTTGCACCATTGCTTGTATGTGTAGCTCCCAAGTGCCTTTGCAAATTTTGAAGGTACACACACATTGAAAATTTACACACAATTGTATGGAAGCTTAGAACAATATACTACTGTCTTTAACTTAGCATGAAAGTTAAAAACATACATAATACTACACTGTCACTGTCTTCTTTTCTTACATTTGTGCACCATGTCACATGGCCTTAGGGGTACTTGCAGGTAAAAAATTAAATAAATACATTATAATTATAATACCAAATAACAGTTCTTTTGAGTCACTTTGTCTCTGAAACACATTAAGGCAGAAGAAAAAAAGAAGAAAGGAAGGAAAAAAGGAAAAAAGATTACTTCTGAAGCTGCTGTTCCTGTTGTATCTGCAGGCTGTTGCTGTAGAAGACGTTGGTGTGTCAGTAGAGACAGGCAGACAGGACCCCGCCGGAGAGTCACTGTGTTACCTGCTCATGTACGTAGCGGACGTGCTGATCGCGCTGAAACAGGCCACGGGCGGCGGGCGCTCCACGTCTCCGCTGTGTGAGAGGGAGGGCAGCGTGCTGGAGGAGACAGACTGGGCGGACGACCTGGTACAGGAGGAGGAGGAGGAGGATGCGGAGGACTCTGATGAGGACTCCCTGTGTAACAAACTCTGCACCTTCACTGTTACACAGGTAATCTGGTCATGACTGTAGAGGGATAAATCTCTTTGAGTACTTTATGATGACGGGTTTATTATTCACATAAACAAATACATACTAGACATACAGGTTTAAAAGTCAGTGGCAGCCTAAGTGGCTGAATTTTAGACTTTTTTACAATTTAAAATCTTGAGAATATTATCAATTCAGACTTCAATGCAAACACTGCATATACATAGGAAATACAATATCAAAAGTACGAAAAGCTTGTCTGGCCAGTACAACATCCAGTATGTTACAGAACTTGCGTATTGTTCAGCAACTTTGTCATATACTAAGTAGTATATAGAGCTCTTAGTGAATCGAACAGTAGCGGACTCATCACAAAGGACAAGACTAGAAGAGAGCTGGAAGAGATCTGTCCCCATTAGAAGAGACTCCAAAGAGAACTGCTGTAGATTCCTTCTTGACACCTGAGGTTGGACCCCCTCAGATACCATCAATTGTTTTGAACAATAGATAATTAAATGGGGATTAGCATCTAACCCTAAGAATGACATAAAAACAACAACATGGCAGCCATGTTTTCATAGGTGATTTTGAAAGAGACTTTAAGAGACTGCAAGAGATCTGAGATAGAATTTAGGAGAACAATGCCTAATCCAAAGAGAACTGCTGTTTTCTCAATTGTCAACTCTCAAAGAGGTTTATTTCTCTACTAGTGATATACATATATCGATATATAATGTCCTGAACCAACTGAGGTGTACCTGTATTGTACATGTGTAGCTGGTACATGTAACCACATTTCAGCTTCACAGGCACACAGCACAGCAGCAGCTGGTTACTAATAGATAACCTGGACCAACCTGTCAAACCTAACCTCTGCAGTGTTCTAGCCAGCAACTGTTTGGAATTTATTGCTCATGATTAATGAGGAACAAAAATTTTGCCGTCATCTTTGTCAGACAAAAATTGGTGTGTAAAGATACACATGTATGGAAAGAGATGTCATTAAACTATGCTTAGTCTACAATCTACCTGCATAACTTTCCCCTCAAAATGTAGGAAAAAATGTTTCAGAGGGTCAAGATTTCAACATTTTCCTGGGAGAGCATACACATGGACTCCTCTAGGATTGTCACACATCTGTCTGATGCCTCGTGCCTTTGGCACTCAACATCACCTTACATCAAACAATAATAAGATATCTGATGATGGAAAAACATTTGAGGCAGGCTAGAACACTATTCTGATCATGAGTGTTTTCTATCATGCTTTCAGAAAGAGTTTATGAACCAGCACTGGTACCACTGTCACACATGCAAGATGAACGATGGTGTGGGAGTCTGTACCATCTGTGCTAAGGTGTGTCACAGAGACCATGATGTCACTTACGCCAAGTACGGATCCTTCTTCTGTGACTGTGGGGCCAAAGAAGATGGCAGTTGTCAGGTCAGCAGTTGTATGTTGTGCAAAAATAAATGCAAAAAAATATAGAAACTTGTACTCATCTATCACTTTTGGCTGGCTTCGAGTAGGGAGGATGCCTTCTTTCAGGAGGGCCTTGGTAATAGAAATTGACCTACATGTATCATGTTTAGACTGGTACAATAGCTCAATGAGTAGAGTGCTTGTAGGTCGTGAGTTCAAACCCCGGCCAGGTCATACCAAAGACTTTAAAATGGTACATACATACTGCTTTCTCTGCTTAGCACTCAGTATCTATGAGGAAGGCTAGCCCCCTGCTGTTGTGCACGGAGTGGAATGGGGAAAAGAAAAATCATATTTAAGGGTTAATAACCTGACCGCGAAATTTATCGAGCGTGGGGAAAAAGAAGAAATCACCTGTATTCATAACATATCAACAGTTTTCACCTTTGGTTACTCCTGCACATGTTTGTTTTCTCTTATTATATTATTTGATTTATCTTATGTACTTGTATTTATTTTGTGAAATCTTGGTTCATCATGTACAGATTTGTTTATTTGCATTCTTTCTGTAAGTTCACTAACTTTGTTCACCATTATTGTATATAGCCTACCTTTATTTGTGTTTATATCTTGTTTGGATTCTGTTATCTGTACCTTTGATTCTCTTTTGTTTAATATGTATTATTTATACTCAAACGGTGTCGTATAAGCCCACACAGGCTGGGCGCTGGAAAGCGCTCGACACGAAAATAAAGTTTCATTCATTCATTCATTCATTCATTCATTCATAATTGTACAAATGTAACTACCTGCAGCCTAAACATGTACTAAACAAATATTGGGATTCTATTCTATACAATGTCATGTACATGTAAATTGACTCTGTCATATGAAAGAACTATAGAACACTAGGCTTTATGACATGCACCAATACCCTCTACATATACTTGTAAATTATACAATTTTGTACCCACTCGGTAGGCATTAGTGAAGAGACTGGCAGTGAGCAGCAGCAGCCCCACAGGAAATGTGCTGTCCTGTAAGGACAAGTCAGGTGACCTGCTGTACGACTCCCACCTGTCCAGTCCTCCTGCACCAGAAGACAAGGTGTCGACTGACGGACCAGATCGCAGCAAGGAGATGCCAACAACAAGGAAAATCCAGTTCTGCAGACATCTGGAGGTTTGAGCAATTCAACCTTACGCTAAGGCCACACCAATTTAATTTCTTGGTTAACGGATTTTTCTAGAAAGATAATGGAGCAGGCGGGCGAAAAACATAATAAAAACAGGCCTAGGTATCCTATTATGGCCCAAAATGGTACGATAGGAGCCATGAAGTCAACACACCAGGCTGGTTCAAAATTTAAACAAGGAATTGTGAACTTTTAATGATACCACTGCATTAAAAGATGTAATGACTGTAACAAATACTAGGAAGAAAAGGACTGTATTCAACTCAGTTCAGGGCAAAATATGAGTATATTGAGCATTTTGCAATTGATTCTGAATGTTTAATTTTTTGTTGCAAATCAGAAAAAATTGAAGCGGACGAGTCCGTTAACCAAGAAATTAAGTTGGTGTGGCTTAATACTTGTCAATCCGATTTTGAAAGGTTGAACACCAGGGCTGACTTTTGTGGGTAAACAAAAGGGCCAAACTTAACACAGTGCTTGCATCTGATGTTGTCGAGAATTTTGCCACTTATTGGTGCCCTGCCCACAAACTCAGTCATGCCATGGTGCTCCTTGCAGAAAAAAATAGGAGCGAGAAAAAACAAGCTTGCCAATGATATCATACACAATGCTAATTCTTAATAAGCAACAGATAAAGGGATTTGTTTTAGTTAGACAGCATGTATTTGCATATTATATTATAAGTAGACGGATTAGAAAACTTTCATTGTATGCTACTACGAAAATTTGATCAAATTCAAATACAATCTTGGCGGTTTCAAAATTGTTGGCCTGCAATGTTACCCTTAATATTCTGTGTCAGTATAAATTGCAGTAAGTTGTTTATTTTGAATACTCCATTTGCAACATTGCAGTTCATTCATTACTGTCCATACATACCTGTATGTTTCTGAGAGATGAGTATTGCTTGTATCATCAGATACAGAATCCTGTGAGGTCGTGTGACGCAGTTGGTAGCGCGTTTGGCTCACACCCAAGAGGTCGCGGGTTCGAATCCTGCCCATGTCACCGATCTTGTGCCCTTGAGAAAGGCACTTTACACGACTTTCCTCACTTCACTCACTACAAGTGGAAATGAGTACCTAGCTTCGGTTAGGAACATCCCTCGGATAGGACGTTAAATGGAGGTCCCGTGTTTGGGGAGAGCCACACCCCACGTATGTTAAAGAACCCACCGCACTTATCGAAAAGAGTAGGGGACCTTCCCGGTGTGAGTGGTTCAAACCTTACAGTCCGGTCCGGTCTTATGCAGCTTGTACATGTACGTACATGTACAAAACTGGTGTGTTACGCCTAAAGGCGGTTTACCGGTTATGCAAAACAAACAGAAAAATCCTGTCCATGTTGTACTCTGTAGTGCTTCACCCCGGCCCTGCTGAAGGAGATGGAGTCTTTAGGAACAGCAGACACCGTGTTACAGCTGCTGACCTCGCTCCTGACTCCACCAGCTAAACCTGCGCAGGACTCGCTGTCCATGGGCAGCTCCACACGCGTGGAACACGCCCTCAACCAGCTCCACACGCAGCCCAAGGTCGTGGAAACCACCGACCAGCTGATGGTATGTACACCAACAACTCAAGCACAGGGCCAAATTTACATTTATTAATCTCTTTAAGACTTTATTTATTAGTTGCTTTCATTGAAGTCGGTATTATTATTAACTGCAATCCTGTATAGCATACATGTACAGAGCAAAATAACTCTAAAATAAACATTGCTTTAAATAATTATAGACCGTCACACAAAAATTATATGAAGAATGGAAAGAGATCTCCTTTACAGGGATCAAACTGAGAGTTTAATATGTGATACAAGTTTGATTCCAGTAATTTTCAACACCAAAATTGCTCAAATTTTCAACTGTTCAACTCCAGTCTTTGTCTAGGAATGAGCTTCTATGACGTCATGTCATGTCATCTACATGTAGATACATGTGTAGCACGATCAAGTGACTCTTGATGAAGTGAGCTGTGGATCTTAAGGTGCAGAAAGTTTGTTTAGGGTTGCATTGCCAATACCCTGCTGTAGATGTCCTCTTTACCTCTTGAAAAAATTTCTGCAATTGTAATTGGCAATAAAGAATATTACCAATCACAATTCTATAGATGCACGATGTATGTATCATTACTCCACATTGACAATACTCTACAAGCAGAGGTTTGGGTTTGAGGTTATTTTTGGTGTGTTTTTAGACTTTAATTTTTTATCGTGGTTTCTTTTTTGCACTGGAATTTTTCTTTCACCCAACCCAACCTCTGCCGGCAGTCACCCCGGGGTGGGGCAAACCTATTCAAGAAACGTGACAGTGCTCCTCCCCGGGAACAATAAAATTATCATTAGGGATATCCATTTTACTGTGGTGGATTATCACACATCCAGCCAGTCAGAAAGGCATTCATTGGGCCACACACCTCCTGCTGACTGTGCCTATTCATGCGTCTGGTTCACACCTCCTTACAGAACGACTGTAATGTGTTGAAGTGATTAGGTTTATAGCGCTTGGAGAGTACATTCATTTGACAAGTACATGTACATTGTACATGTTTTTTGTACTTTGTTTTTTTTTTGACAGACCATGCTAAAAATGCTTAGAGCAGAAGTTACATAATGTTATTTTATATATCCATATTTTAAAGCTTATTGCCATATGCATGAACATGATATTGTACATATTTGAATTCAAAATAAAGTTCATTGAATTCTGAATTTTTTGTGTTTTCAATTGTACATATGTACACTGTGTAGATGATAACAAGACACTATTATGAAAAATGGTTTCAAAGTGAAGGCAATGACTGAGATGATTGTGATATCAGCCTTGAAGTTTTTACATTATGTAAGTACATGTGTAAGTACATGACATTGTACATTATGTAAGTACATTGTGTTTGAGTGTTATTATAATACCGGGTACTACATTGTGTCCTTAAAAACCCTGTTTGTCTGTATCACTGTGACAACAGGTCCCAACCCTTGGATCCCAGGAGGGAGCCTTTGAGAATGTGAGGATGAACTACAACGGAGACCAGGGCCAGACCATCCGGCAGCTCATCAGTGCACAGATGCTGCGCCGTGTCGCCATGTGCTGTCTCACATCCTCACAGGGCAGACGCCAGCACCTGGCAGTCAGTCACGAGAAGGGAAAGGTAACAAAACTATACAGTCATGTGTTATCAACACTGTACAGTCATGTGTTATCAACACTGTACAGTCATGTGTTATCAACACTGTACAGTCATGTGTTATCAACACTGAATGACTCATTATACACAATCTTAAAGTTTGCACATTTAATTGCAGGAGTTGTTTAAAGGTTTACTTAGAATTAACAAGCAATTATGAGAATGCTTCACTTGTGTTTACTGATATATCTGATTGTATTGTTGCTTTCCCGAATGCAACTGCAATGTACATCACAGTTATAGTTATACATGTAACAGTATCATACCTTGCCATATACAATGTATTATAAAAATTTTACACAATCATCATTATGTACATGAGGACTACTGGAAGAGTCCGTTGTTCAAAAGAAGAAAGACAGAAATAAGGCAAAGTAGTATTAGATCTTATTTGTAGACTAGTGGAGGTAAATTGACAGAATGTTTTTGTTCCACTGTAGATCACACTCCTGCAGCTGTCTGCGCTGCTGAAACAGGCTGATTCCAGCAAGAGAAAACTCACCCTCACGGTAACATTCACATTCACATGGTCAAAAATGTTGCTAACTTGTGAGACTTTTGATAATTGTGTACGGAGGAATATTTTGAATATAAGTACAACAACGTATGTCTTGTTGTTCACAAAGTTGGTGACTTTATTAGAGTTTCTTTTCTATCATTCAGTGAATGAATGAATGAATGGATGGATGGATGGATGGATGGATGGATGGATGGATGGATGGATGAATGGATGGATGGATGAATGAATGAATGAATGAATGAACTTTACTGCTCGACAATCGTACATGGTACAATGTGTGGCAGTGTTTTGATACCTCAAATATATAGATTATTACATTGAATGTACAATCATAATATATTATGACTTAGTCTAGTATACAGTTTATTTGAAGCATTTACATTTACCCTGAAGCCCGCGGATGATTGATTGATTTACATGTAATACTCAAGCTGACCAACTCCTTCACACACTACTGTTGAAGCAATGAGCAAAGAATTATCACATAAAAGTGTCTTATTCCTGTCCTGTATTTTGCAGAGGCTGTCGTCTGCTCCGATGCCGTTTACAGTCATTTCAATAACAGGAAACCAGTGTAATGAAGACTTCCTGGCAGTCTGTGGGCTGAAGGTATGGCAGCTGCCTAACACTCTAATTTATGTCCTACCTGGGCCGCGATTACGTTTGATACGGGTGTTCTGGCCCGTGTGATAACTAGCGGTACGGCCCAGGGGTTCTTAACGCATACGGCCCGGGCTTCCAAATGTTCCATAGAACGATTCGAATGCATTTTGTCCTAACCACGTGCACCGCTTTCAAACATTCGAATACAAAATTCGGACGTTGGAATTGAAGTTGCATTTTTTGGGTTCAGGGACACCAAATTTTCGCTTATTTTGCATTGAAAGGCGTGTTTTCTTGGGTGGGTATGACATAAATAAAATACAACACGGTGTATTCCGCATCACCCTCAGTCCCAACCCTCCCGCCAGTCGGATCTTGTTGGGGGATCCAATGCGCTGTCGGGCTGGGACCTTTGGCGATACGGAATACCCCGTGTTGTATTTTATATGAATTACAACTTCAGAAATGCAGGACATCAATTATGCTACATTTTAGGTTTGGACATTCAAATCAAAACTTAGGAAATCTGCAAGGAAATAAGTGTGAATTTTCTTTCTTTTTTAAAAGTTTTTAGCATTTCTGGATCATGAACAATCTATGTGTATGTATTTGTTTCATAATTGATGTGCATCAATTAAGTCTAACTTTAGTTAGTAATTATATATTTCTATGGAATGGACTTTTCCTGTTTCTTGTGGACAGGTGTGGTTTTTAATTTGATATAATGTATGAACTTCGACTGTGAAGGACTACCAAGAATTATACATACATTGCACGATTTACCCACCACTCTGAGTTTTTCTCTGCGATGATGATGCAAAACTCTTAAAACAGGCTCCTCTCTCAGAAGCAACTGGACACCTCTGTGATATTAACAAATTCTATGGATCTCACATATCGACTCCAATTCTGGCTTGTTCACATTTATTTATTTTTATTCATTTATTACGATTGACCACATACATAATATACACATGTACATGGAGGGCATGGTGGAACACGTGCACCTACAAAAATGTAGGTGCACCTTTTCAAGGCCACCATGCCCACATGCCCACACACATGAAACCATGTTATTGATACAAATGGCAAAAAGGCTTTTCTCCAACAGACAATCTCAATATGTATACAACATTGTATGGACCTTTACATTGTAGACTTGAAGTGTTGTAATATAATAATATTGTCTGTTGTTTCAGGACTGCCATGTGTTAACCTTCAGCAGCTCAGGGGCAATGTCAGACCACTTGGTTCTACATCCTCAATTGGAGACTGGGAACTTCATAATCAAGGTCTGTGTAGTACTATTATAATTGTTCAGTATACCAGTTAAAATTCATGTTCAATCTGTTGAACACAGTTTGGTTTACTTTGCAATGATAGAATGACACTTGTCATTTTAAACAACACCAGGTACAAGACTGCAAATTAAGCAGTGAAAAATAATCAGGCAATAATGACAGGTAAGTTCATTTTTTTATAATTGCTACATGTCAGACCTGCTGTGATTAGTGTGATAATGAAACGTTCTTCCCTTGTACAGGCAATCTGGCTCCCAGGCTCGCAGACAGAGATAGCTGTCATCACTGCAGACTTTGTCAAGGTACATGTACAGAATGGGTTTAGAACTTCCATGTGTCTGAAAGTGATCTGTGTGAGCTTATTTTTGTCAGTATTTGTAAGACGTAGTGATTCCACACTACATGTACACACATGTATGGTTTATGTAGTGGTGAAGAATTTATGATTGTGAATTTTGGTGTCAGGATGAAACAAAGTGTGGGACAGATTTTGGGTTCAGATAATGTGGTATTGTGGGATGTTAATAGAAAAGTCAAATAGGATTTTGTTGGTACCGTTTTTGAGAGCTTGAATAAATATTGTGATTATATGAATGGTACTTAAAATATATGGTATACTGACACAACACAGTCTATGGACACTACACCGGGGTTAACGTTTATGATAATTTCATATTTTCACAATCATAGTTCCAAGTCCCATAAATCCCCAACTGCATGGTACAGACACACACTTAAACAACAAGAATAAGAAACTGTTGCACAGCAGATTAACCTTAACCTCAAGTTGCAATTGCTTACTATATTTTTTAGAAATTGACTTTTTTAAGTGCAACAGCATATTATGTAATACTAAATTTCATGCTAATTTCTGGCATTGAATTCATCATTATTGATTTTGATAGCATAAATGTCTTGAACATGTTCCATTACCAAATACTTGTATTTGGATTATGTTTGATCAATATGAAAAAAATTTGATAAATACAAACTAAGTAAGAATGTTATACAGTGTAATAAGGCATCCTGCCATTGGTACACCCTGATCTTGGAATAGCCATCCAACTTGGTAGACTATTAGTGGTTATTTTATTTATTTATTTATTTCAAATGCATAACAACAACACATTACACAGACTTATGGGCAGCGAAGGCTGATAAACGTAAGTCTACATAAAGGATAACAAGTACGTTACACGTATACACAACTACACTATACGGGACATCAGATAACAATACAGTCATAATATTATATGGAAAGAAAGTTTATTGCAGATTCATGCCCGAGGGCTAATTGCAAGAACATGATAACAACAGTAAACACTGTCAGTAAAAATGATAATAAGTAATGCTAATGCTACTTTTGTAGTTATTGTTGGGTTTGATTTCTTTTCCGTGTGCAGTGGAGTATGAAATTGAAATATGAATATGAAACATTTTGCGAGATGTATGAATTGGGAGGTGTTAATAGAAATGCAGTTTTTTGTAGGCTGGGAAGGTGAATAAAGATACATGACTGTATATGTACAAATACAAATTCAATATTGCACTGGCTGAACAGTATTAAATCCGTATCACGCAATCAAGTAAATAAAGTAAACAATCGAAACTGCATGACGATGTGTGTTATGTTGAGGTCAGAGGTCAAGGTTAGGAAAAAACTGTTATACATACAAAAATGTATGTGTGTAACTGTATTAGCGGTTAAGTCAAATAGTTTTGATAAAGCTTTAAAACATTGAGAAAAGCCTACAAGGTTGTCACTAACTTGGCTGTTATTTCATCACCAGATCTACAACCTGGCAGTCGATGTGCTGAGCCCTGGATATTACTTTCTGTTGCCGAGTGGAAAAATCCGTGATGCCACCTTCATATTTGTGGACGACATTTACTACATTGTCCTCATGTCATCTGCTGGATACATGTACATTCAGGTGGGGAACTGTTGTACGTCATGTGTGAGGTGCTACTGATATTAAAACATGCTGAAAACATTTATTAATTTCTCTTGTGGGTCTGTCGGTAGCAAAGACTGGATAACAGTGGCTGGAACTGGCTGTTTTCCAATGGTCTTTACTGTCCAGACCTTGGATGTGGATATTAACTGGTTCTGAGCGATTCATGTGGGACTTGATTTCTCTGTGCCATTAGATTGTATTCTCCTTCAGAATCTCCAGTTACTGTAATTAACAAGCCGCGATATAATTATGGAAAAACGTTTTAATTATGGACTCCCGCCCATAAATCCCAAACGCTTAACCCAACTGTCTTAATACTTTTTATGGTAATATATTAGGTGGTAATGAATATGCGGAAAGCGTTGATGAGTCCCTTGGGAATAGTCCAATTATACATAATTATACTATAATTATGTATAATTATACATAATGATTTTGGTATTATCTATAATTATACATAACCCTTAGGACCGTTATACATAATTATAGATAACCCTTTGGACCATTATACATAATTATACATAACAGTTTGGACCATTATACATAACCCTTTGGACCATTATCTATAATTATACATAACCCTTTGGACCATTATACATAATTATACAGAACAGTTTGGACCATTATACATAACCCTTTAGACCATTATACATAATTATACATAACAATTTGAATCATTATACATAATTATACATATTTATACATAATGTCTATGACCATTACATATAATTATACATAACCCCTGCACTTACATCATGCAGTTATCCATAACTTTGGGATTATACTTCTGAATAGAAGCACAGGGAGTCTTATTTGCAATGATTTCCATCCATACATGTACCTGTTTACAACTCAACTCAACTCAGTCAAACCTGCTCAAGCCAGCCACCCAGGGGACCGGAGAAAAACGGTCGGGTTGGACAGGTGGTCTGCTTGAAGTGGGTTTATTCTCC